GGGGAGGGCCCGGCGGGCGGGAGGGGGACGCCCCTCTGCTCTGTGGTCTGGCACTCAGATCGCCCACTCCACAGATGCGATTCCGAGGCATGCACAGTGCGCTCAGGACCCCGAGAGGGGTCCCAGATATTGTTCTCTCCAACCCTCCAGCGCAGAGTGGGGAGTTCAGGAGGCCATCTGCCTGACCCCAGGAACTCAGGAGGCGCCCCAGTTCTTGTTCCCCCTTCACCTGGGAGGCTCGAGACCTCCTGGTCAGAATCAGAACCCATGAAGGGCTCCCGAGCTCCCACTTAGAGCTCCAGAGTTCAGGAAGCCCCTTGCCTCGTGAAACCAGGAGGAGACACAGGTATTGTTGCTCCACCTCAAACTCTGGGGCCTGAGGTTGAGGGGGACACAGGAGCTTCATTCCAACTCAGCTTGCTCACTGGATCCTAGCTGTGGGGTCTGGGGCTGTGGATGGCCTGCTCCCAACAACAGACTGATTTACGGTCTGTCCTCAACAACCCCTCGTCATAGGTGGATAACTCACAACAACTCTTTTCTCCGGGTAACCTGAGGGTTCCTGTGCTCCCCAGCAGTTCCAGCCATTGTTTCTCCACTCCATCCCCTCCCTTAAACCATGGGCCTGCTATCCAGGGTGTCCCACCCAGGAGGGACCCATGTCCACAGCCCACTTAGGAATTGGCCCTTCTTGGGAGGTGGTCCAGGGGTCCCCCAGTAAGGGACACAAGTATTATTTTAACTCCCTCACGCCAGCTAGGAGGAGCCCTGGTGGTGCAACAAGTGCTCTCCGAGGAACCCATAGGCTGATGGTTCAAACCCACCCTCTTGGCTCTTTGAGAGAACAGACACAGCCATCTGCTCTGATGCAAGTTGTTATACACTGTCGAGTCAGAGCGGACCCCTAGCTGACCCTCCGACGGGTTTACAGAGACAGTGACTCGCACAGGAGGAGAGTGTTCATCCTTCTTCCTTGGAGCAGCAGATGGATTCAAACCGCATTCCTTTGGGTTGGCAGCCCAACTCTTTTAAGCCTCTAGAGCTCCCTAGGTAGATAAAAGTTACAACCTCAAGAGCCCTCTGGGGCACTTTTCCTCAGCACGTGCTCTGAGTCAGAATGACTTGATGGCACCCATCCACAAGCCTCCATATTGCTGTCATTTCCAACTTGCATCCACGCCAGATGCAACAGCAGCAAACACTGCCTGCTGTTACACAGTCCCCACTATTACTGCTGTAGCCGAGGGCCCCACCAATGGGAACACAGGCCTACCAACCCCTGTTCCTGCCTTCTGGGGGCCTGGGTGTCTCCCTGCCCCCAGGAGCATCCAGCTTATTGGTCGCCCACTGTCACCATTTAGGAACTGGCATTCAAACTCTTCTGCCCAAGAGGGAAAGCTGGGGTGGGGACACCTAATCTCTCTCCCGGTGACCCAGTACCACAGAGATGCTTCCAACTCACAGCAATCCTCCAAGTTTCTGAAATGGCAAGGAAAGCAGGGGCCGGTCCGTGGAAAAGGATGTCATACTTGGGAAGGCGGAGGGTCAGCATAGGAGGGGAAGCCCCTCGACGAGATTGACTGACAGACGCAGTGACGTAAGTGGGCTTGTGTAAATCAGAGGTGAGGAGGGTGCCACAGGAGAGCACAGGGTTCAGATCCATTGTCCGTAGGGTCACGAGGAGTCGTGTTCACTCGTTGGCACCTAATGATGAGGATAGCGTGTCTGTATGGGAGCAGACAGCCTGTCTTTCTCTCTGGAAGTGAATGATGGATTTAAACCACTGACCTTTTGGTTATCAGCACATGCCACCAGAGATCCTTCTAGTGACCCAGAAAGGGTACCAGCTCTATTCTCAACCTTCAGCCATAGGCTCCAGAGCTCAGCATATACCCTCCCCACCGGAACCCCTAAATAATACTCCCCCCAACTATGGGCTGGGGCTCTAGGCAGTAAGCACGTGAACTGGCACCCACCACCTTTGCCAGCCAAGGGGGTAGGAACATAGGACTCTCTCCCCAACAGGACCCATCTTTCCCACAAGAGGAGCCCCGGATGGAGAGAGGGGTGGAGCCGTGGCGCTGGGCACTGACGTCTCCGAGTGCCAGGTCCCTGAACTTCCTTCCAGGTGGGAGCAGCAGAAGGCCTTTTTGCTCTTTTTCCTGTCCAGCCAGGGGTGGGTCCACCGCTTTCGCAAGCTGGAGGCAGGGAAGGAGCCATGGGTTTTCAGTAGTGGAGTTTAGAATGTGGCCCAACACCCTTTCTTTCCAGTCCCTGCCCAGATGCCAAAAGAGACCCACTCTTTGCCAAAGAAATCTCAGCGTGGCACATATGGTAACTGAAAGGTTGTCAGTCTGAACCTGTCCAGTGGTGCCACGGAACAGGGGCCAGGTGACCTGTTTCTGAAAGGCCTGCAAGGAGTAGGCCCTTACTCTGAGCACACACGGGGTCACTGTGAGTGGATGTTGATTCCACCACACATGGGTTCGGTTTGCATTTGGTTCTCCAGCAAGCTCCATCCACCCTCTCCTCACCCTGTAGATCCTGTCCCTGAAGTGACCAACACCTCGAAGCCTGAAATGCGGCGCTCAGTCCTGGTCCGGAACCCAGGCCACAAAGGCCTCAGTCCTGTTTATGAGGAACTTGATTCTGATTCTGAGGACCAGAACGCCAACCGTGAAGACCTGGACCCTGTTTCTGAAGACCCAGAGCCTCACCCAAAAGACCTCAACACTGTCTCCGAAGAAGACGTGGACCCCAGCTGCGAAGATCTTGAGTCCGCCTCCCAAGAACTGGAACCTGGTGCGGAATCCGCTCCGGGCTCCAGTTTGGGGAACTGTGACTCGGAACCTCAAGATCTCGACCCCACGTCTGCAAGTTCAGACCTTGATCCAGACGTCATCGGTCCCGTCCCCCTGGTTCTCGACCCTAACAGCGACGTCCCCGACCTGGACCCCCTGCCCTCCAGCCTCACTGCCACCCCCGAGGTCCTGCCCACCGGCCCCGCGGTGCCCCCCGCCCCCGCCAGCCCGCCGCGGCCCTTCTCCTGCCCGGATTGCGGGCGCGCCTTCCGCCGCAGCTCGGGTCTGAGCCAGCACCGCCGCACCCACAGCGGCGAGAAGCCCTACCGCTGCCCCGACTGCGGTAAGTCCTTCAGCCACGGCGCCACGCTGGCCCAGCACCGCGGCATCCACACGGGCGCGCGGCCCTACCAGTGCGCGGCCTGCGGCAAGGCCTTCGGCTGGCGCTCCACGCTGCTCAAGCACCGCAGCAGCCACAGCGGCGAGAAGCCGCACCACTGCCCCGTGTGCGGCAAGGCCTTCGGCCACGGCTCGCTGCTGGCGCAGCACCTGCGCACGCACGGCGGCCCGCGGCCCCACAAGTGCCCCGTGTGCGCCAAGGGCTTCGGCCAGGGCTCGGCGCTGCTCAAGCACCTGCGCACGCACACGGGCGAGCGGCCCTACCCCTGCCCGCAGTGCGGCAAGGCCTTCGGCCAGAGCTCGGCGCTGCTGCAGCACCAGCGCACGCACACGGCCGAGCGCCCCTACCGCTGCCCGCACTGCGGCAAGGCCTTCGGCCAGAGCTCCAACCTGCAGCACCACCTGCGCATCCACACGGGCGAGCGGCCCTACGCCTGCCCGCACTGCTCCAAGGCCTTCGGCCAGAGCTCGGCGCTGCTGCAGCATCTGCACGTGCACTCGGGCGAGCGCCCCTACCGCTGCCAGCTCTGCGGCAAGGCCTTCGGCCAGGCGTCCAGCCTCACCAAGCACAAGCGCGTGCATGAGGGCGCGGCGGCAGCGGCGGCAGCTGCCGCGGCAGCGGCCGCTGGTCTGGGCCTGAGCCCCGTGCCCGTGCTGAGATCCGATCAAGTCTCCCTCCTGGATCCTGAAGCGGCCTCCGTGCTCACCTCTGACCTTGGCCCTGACCTTGGCACCACACTGGGCTCTCTCCCCGATCCCAGCCACAAAAGCAGCCCCGGCTCCCCAACTACCCCCAGTCCGGAGCCTGTCCCATCTTCTGACCCCAAGTCTGATCACGAAGCCGAGCCGAACCCCGAGTCCCACCCTGACCCCAGCTCTCCCATCCGTGACACTGTCAGTCCATCCATCCCTGCAGGTGAGAGTCCCGAGTGGGCACGGGAGCCAGGGGCACTGCTGGGGCCAGATGGCTGAAGTGGACTTCCAAAGCGCCTGGGGAAGTTGTGTGTCGTGCAGCTAGTAAAGTCCTTCACTGCCTACTGGCTCTGTCTTCCTTCACCTGCTGCTCTTTCTCAGCTCCCACCACCCCACTCTATGCAAGGCCCCTGCCCAGGAGATATGGGAGTATGGTCTGGCCCAACCAGTGGCCCCCTTTCCTCTTCTTGCCCAGAGCCACATCTGTCTAGCTGGCCCACCCTGCAGTCACCACTCTGCTCCCTCCAGACCTGTCTCAAGAGGAAGCTCACCTCTCAGGTGACCTGAACAGAGTCTGCTCCCTGTAGCCATTCCACACAGCCACAGTCACTTGGGACGGCCACCAGCACAGGAATAACTCTTACAGTGGCATACTTTTTACTTGGGCATGTTTGCAGCCTGCGAGGCCACCAGGCTAGCTCCCTTCACCTACCCCTTGCCTTTCAAAGGCCATCTTATTGAGACCCTGCTGGACACGGGAGCTTGCTGGTTTACACCTTCAACAAACATCTGCTGGGCATGAGAGACGGTATCTCAGCAGGATGCCTGGTAAACAGCAGAAGGAGACAGATATCACTGTATGATGTAAACATCTTCACAGGAGATGGGACAGTCAAGACACAGCATAACAGGACGGGTTGTACTCACCTATCCACTAACAGAGGGCGCTCTGGTGGCCTGGTGGTTAGAAGCTGCACTGCAGTCCCCAAGATACACAGTTCCAATGCACCAGCTGCAGGCAGAGAACAATGGGCAATCTCTTCCCTGACAATTAACTGCCTCTGGAAACCCGTAAGAGTGTCAGCTATGGGTCCGTTATGACTCAACGGTACAAAATAACAACACTCACCAACTTAAGAACTAGGACTATCTATCTACTCAGCCACATACTCTTCTTACATAATCGTTTCACTCACCAGCCCCTAAGGCGATGACTTATCCTCATCTCAAAAATAAGCAAAGAGGCTCTAAAAGCTTAAGGGATGTGTTGAAAGACATTGAGGGGATGGCTGGGAATTCCAAAGTTAAAAAGCCACACTCCCATTCAGAGGGTGTGTCCATAATGCATTGCATTCCAGGGGCAAGAGTGTACAAAGATCCCTGGAGCCAGGGGAAATGAGACAGGAGAGTAGCGGAGGTCAGACCACTGTGGTCTTCTTGGTAGTCTAGGGATGGGTGGTGGGGAGTTCAGTGGTCATCAGAGCAAAGGGAAGGCACTGGCCAGTTCTGGCCTGAATTATTTTCTTAATTAAAAAAGAAAATTGTGCTGAGTTGGTCTTTGAAGTACCTTCTAGCTGCTGGATGGGAGTTTGGGGACACAGAAGGCGAGAGAGGGAGCCGTAGAAACCAGGGAAGAGCCTGGTTCAAAAGTCCAGATGAGAAACATTGGACAGCTTTAGACCGGGAGATAAGCAATCAATCGTATTTGGGATATAATTAGGGAATGGAACAGGATTTACTGATTAGGGAAAAAGGGAGGGGGGAGCGAGGATGTGGCCCTTCACCCTGTTTCTGGGAGGAAGGCGGGGCCAGCTCTGAGATGGGGACACGGGGTCATCATCGGACACCGCTGAGGGCAAAGGGTCAAGCACTGGACATGGAAGTCACGAGGCTGGCATGGCTCGCGGGACCCGACGGGAAGCCAGGGCGGCCTCGGCGGCTGCTGAACAAGGTCACGCTTACAGCCAGCCCGCTCCCAGGCCACACTCACTGCCCGCGCCGGGCTCCTGGTGGACCTGCAGTCGCACTCCCAGCTGCGCACGCGTGCTATTCCGCTAGGGGTCGCCGCGGCGCGGGAGGCGGGGCCACGCGGAGTCACGTGCTCTCTAGGGCGCCCTGGTCACGTGACAGCGGTCCCGGTCAGCTGACTCGGGAGGGTTTGAAGCCGCGCCGGGAGGAGCGAGGCCGCGGTGACCGCGCCGGGCTCGACCCCTGGCTGCCCCGCCGCGCCCGCCGGCGCCCCGCGCTCCCCGGCCCGGCATGGCTGCTCCCGCGGGCCGGCGCGGCTCAGGTGAGGCCCTGGCGGCGCCGCGGCCCGAGTGCAGGTGGCGGGCGGGCGCTCGGGCTCCCGGGATTTTGGGTCTGAACCTAGGCAGTGGTTGCTCAGCTTTCCCCGCGCCCAGGCGCCAGGCTCCGGCTTCTCCATCCCGGGCTTCCCTTCTGCATCCGCCTGATCTTGCAGGCAAATGCTCAGCTTCCCAGAACCCAGCGGGAGCAGTGGGGATGCGTCTTTGACCTTAGACGGCTAACTCCAATCTTATCTCTCCAAACATTTGGAATCTCAGCCTTGTTATAAACAACCAGCACACTAGCCTTCAGGCTCCCGAGAGCCGGGCCAGCAGCCCTGCAGGACAGGTTCTGACAGTGCCCGCTGTCATGCCTGCCTCTGGGTCAGGCCCTGGAATAAAGCAGGGTTCTCCAACGGGGGTGTGTCAGGGACAGTTCAGGGCTGGCTGCTCGACCAGCTGTGACCCAAGCTGTTGCCGAAACCTCGGCTCCTCCTCTTAGCTTTGTCAGACTGCAGGAAGCCAGCACGAACAAACTGGAGCATCTCTTTGCAACAAAATTACTGAGGGGCGCTGAGCCTCACCCTCAACTGTAGACTTTAATTTCCATTTTTCAGTTAGAGAAACTATGTAGAGAGACTGAGGCCTAAGAGTTTTGGCAATGACCATGCTGGCAAGTGGCAGACCGAGGGTTCAGTTTCAGAGTTCTTTGATTTGCAGGCGTCACTGTCATTAATGCTGTTGCTGGATTAGCTCATAAAATAGTATCTAGGCAGTGCTGGACTAGCAGCCATGAAAGCACTGGCAATTGCGTTTCCTTATTTGTTCAATCACTCGTCATGATGAGTAGGAAGATGAATCTACGGATGTTGATCCAGGATAAACTGGAATGTGAAATCAGCTCTGCTTATGCCTGGAGGCCAGAGTCAGGCTAGACCTGGAGCCCTGTGTGTCCTGGGAGAGTTGCACAGATCCACAATGGAATGTTAAGGAATATTCCTCCTTTTTCTCTGCATACCCGCCCCCCCCCAATCAGTGCTTTGTAAGCACCAGTTTCCGCAGGAGAAGTGATTATTGCCCCCATTTTACAGATGAGGAGGCTGAAGCTAGAGTGCCCTATCTAGGCTCATGAGCTTCAGAGTCGGGAATCAACATGGCCTTTCTGACTTCAGACACCAGCTCTCAACCTCTGAACAGTCTGTCCTCACCGCCACCCCCACCAGCAATTGCTGTTGTGTCCACTCCAGGTCCCAGCAGTGACCCCACTTGCCTCAGAGTAGAATTGTGCTCCGCAGGGTTTCCAGTGGCTGGCTTTTTGGAAGTGGATTGCCAGGTCTTTCTTGAGAAGTGCCTTCTAGTGTTAACTGTTGGTACCACCCAGGGGCTCTACAACATAGTCCCCAAAGGCTATAAGTTTTCTAGATTTTTTGGGGGGCTTCTCCACATTCTTCTGGGGCTGGACTCTGGGGCTCTGAGGAAAGCACTGAACCCCTAGCCGGTCAGGCTGCTGTGCCTAATCCTTACAGCTTTCCCTCATTCCCATAGAGACTGAGCGGCTCCTGACCCCCAGCCCTGGCTATGGGACCCAGGCAGGGAATTCCCCGGCCCTGCCGACCCCCCAGGAAGAGGAAGACCTCCGCCGCCGTCTCAAGTACTTCTTCATGAGCCCCTGTGACAAATTCCGGGCCAAGGGTCGTAAGCCCTTCAAGCTGATGCTGCAAGTGGTGAAGATTCTGGTGGTGACTGTGCAGGTGAGGCCCAGCTGGGCAGGGGCCCCAGCAGAGCGCCTCCTGTGGCCCCTGCTCTCCTCCACGGGGGAGTCTTGCAGTGGGAGAGTAGTCCCAGCCCACAGCCTTGTAAAAGCAGTGACAGCGGCTGTAATGACTAGGACTCCCAAGTCTGCAGCTGCAATAAAAGTACATGCAGCATCTCACCTCTATTTTGTTCAAGAGGCACCTGAGGCTCAGAGAGGTTTAGCATCTTGTCCTAAGTCACACAGCAATTGAATGTGGCAAGCTGGGATTTGAACCCTGGTTTCTGACACTATATTGGCCAAGAGATCTGAGTCAGTGGTTGAGCAGATAACAGGTCCTCTCCTGTGCTTGACCTGGTGGGCCCCCAGGTGACTCACACCCACTACACCCTTGATAAACTTTCTGTCTGGTGCTAGGACTCTGGGTATGGTAGAAGGATAAGTTACCACTGAGTTGATTCAACTCAAGGTGACCAGGTGTGTGTCAGAGTAGGACTGGGTTCTGTAGGGTTTCCATGCTTTTAACAAGATAGATTGCCAGGCCTTTCTTCTGATGCATCTCTGGGCAGACTTGAATTGGCTACCTTCGGTTAGCAGCTGAATGTGTTAACAGTTTGCACCACCCAGGGACTTTCTGGACATACTGTTACAGCTCTGTCCCTTCCACCCTGCTGCACACACCCAGCAAAATAATGGTACTTTCTCTGCCTGCTTGGATTAGCAAATTTGTTAAATGTTCTGGTAACCAGTTTAATAAGCATTAGAGTCTATTAGCGCAGGAACCCTAATGATGCATCAATGAATCACCTAGCTGCTGAGCACAAGTTTGGTGGTTCAAACTCACTCTATAGCTTCTTAGGAGACAGGCCTGGCAGTGTGCTTCAGTGTACATCATGGCCAGGAAGATGCTGGGGGCAGTTCTGTCCTGCCACAAGGTCGAAATCAACGCAGTGGCCCCCAACTTGGCAGGCCTGTTGTCAGATATTTGAGCGCCCACTGGGGAGATAATCGGGGGATGGCAGATATGGCCTGTGCCCTTGTGGAAATAGGGCTGGAGGATGAGGGCAAGGCATGCTTAACCAGATGTCAACACAAAGGATTTCGAGGCCCCCTGTGCTTGGAGGGCCCTACCTCCAAGCCCCACTGGACGTCTTTAAGACCTGCCCTTTCCTTGTCCTCTGCTCCTGCCCCAAGCGAGACTGCCCTACCTGTGAGTTTTGAACTCCTGGCGGTGACCTCAC